GGGGACACGCCGCTGCCGGGGGGGAGGCCGGGGGCGGCGGTGCCGGGCGGCCCGCGGTTCGCTGGGGGGATGCTGCAGCGGGAGGCCGAAGATCAGCGTTACGGTAGGGCTGCTGCAGTTAAACCGGCCCTGAGCCTGTGAACCATGATATGAACCGACGAAGGAAGCGTCGGGGGGAAGGTGGTTTCATTTTCAAGTACCTTAGCAGATAGGCCTCTCGATATTAGCGTACATCCATGGAGCGTCCCATCTGCATCCTCGGTTCTGCTTTAGCGCTTCTGGATCACCCTGAAATCCTGCAGGCTGTGAGACAGATTGCTTTTGTGGAGCTCATTTGATAAAGATTGAAATTTGACATGGAGAAGAGAGAATATGGGAAGGTTTCTCATCACATATGGTGCTCTTTCTCTCTTTCCAGCATGTCTTCAGGTGCACTATTTCCAAGCCTGGTGCCAGGCTCCCGTGGGTCTTCAAGCAAATACCTGGTGGAATTTCGGGCGGGGAAGATGTCCCTGAAAGGCAGCACTGTAACCCCGGACAAGAGAAAAGGCCTTGTGTACATCCAGCAAACTGATGACTCCCTCATTCACTTCTGCTGGAAGGACCGGACTTCAGGCAATGTTGAGGATGTGAGTATGGTTTTGTGTTTCAGTGCTGATGCACTGAGTCATGGTCTGTCTCATTCTTCTGCTGGCACTGCTGAAAGAGCTTCTCCAAGACTAATAAGGATAAGAACGCCACTGTGGCCTGACAGAGCTGCTTCCCCATCCTCTCTGCTTTGAGGAGCAGATGGAGTAAGGTTTGGGGAGGAGGGCAGAGGTCTTTGATAGGCAAAAAGGAATATTCATGTAGTTCCTCAAACGTTTGTTTCTACTGCCACGTTTTCCAGGATTTGATTATTTTTCCTGATGACTGTGAATTCAAGAGGGTACCTCAGTGCACTACTGGCCGTGTGTATGTATTGAAGTTCAAGGCAGGATCAAAACGACTCTTCTTCTGGATGCAGGTTTGTGGGAGGCCAATAATAAAGGTCTTGGAACAAAGTACTTCCAGTTTGCCTTGTACCAAGAGCAACTTTCTTGCAGGAGCCAAAGACGGACAAGGATGAAGAACACTGCCGTAAAGTGAACGAGTATCTCAACAATCCACCAATGCCTGGTGCTTTGGGTGGAAATGCAAGCGGAGGCCACGAGCTCTCAGCATTAGGAGGTACAGTCCATTCTCTGCTCCATGTGAGAGGCTTTTTTTTTTTAAAATTTATTTTTAGAATAAGCACTTACAGTTCCCTAGGAAGAAATTCTTGATGGCTATGGAGGGTGAGTTGGGGACAGTGTTAATACCAGAAGTGTAAATGTGCTTTTAGCAAACTAAACTGTGCTGTTATAGTAGGTGCAGGCTGAAAGTTAAGACTGCCAGAAGAAATCTGTCTTTGTTTCCAGCAGATTCTCTGGAGTCTTACCTCTTTATGAAGCCAAGTTGCATTTATCTTTTATGAGCATCATGAATCAGTAAACACTTGAAACTGTTTTTTCCATACAGAATGTGATGCCAATTAATCTCCTGCTGTTTGAGCCGGAGTGCTGTGAAAAAAAAACCTATGTGAATATGTTGTGTTTCAGAATGTTTTTGTTTTTAGGTGAGGGTGGCTTGCAAAGCCTTCTTGGAAACATGAGCCATAACCAGCTCATGCAGCTGATCGGACCAACGGGCTTAGGAGGACTTGGTAAAATGCTTTAATATCTTTATGCCAAAATGGTATTTTCTCCTGCCAGGTT